TATGCAGTAGTACAGTTAGTAATACAAACATGCATTATAAGTTTGTAAAAATGGCTTAATAGTTAAGGGATAATAAAGTATTTAGGGGAGTTGCTTTGAATTTGGTTGTGGGTTTAGCATGGTGTGGGTAGGTTTGTTATTGAGAGATGAGATGATGTTTGAGTATGATCCTGATTTGTGGGCAGGGGACCACGTGCTGCTTCAGGCAAAGAGTTCCAGATCTTTGGGCCCTTTATGTGCATTGCATTATTGCAAAGTGTGAGACGGACACGAGGGATGTCAAAAAGTGTTTTGTGCCTTGTGTTATGCTTGTGTGTTGTATTGAAACTGTCGAGGAGAAGTTTGAATGGAGGGTTGATATTGGAGTTTAATGTTCTGTATATGTAGTAGGCACAATAATAAGTGTGTATATTATGGATATTAAGTAAGTTCGTGTTTTTGAAGAGAGGTGGTGTGTGTTGTCTGGTGCTGGAGTTTGTGATCATCCTCACTGCCGCTTTTTGTTGAGTTATTAAATCTTTGAAGTGATTGGCCATGGTAGATCCCTAAGCATAAATGCCATAGGTGAGGTATGGGTATATTAGAGGGTGATATAAGGTAAGGAGGGCCTATTGGGGCACAGAGTATCGTATCTTGGAAAGGATACCTACTGTTTTGGAAACTTTCTTAGTTATATGCTGGATGTGGGTCTGAAATTTAAGATTACATTCAAGGTGGAGACCTAAAATTTTGCCCTCAGTGTGTCTTGTAGTGGGTGAACCATTTATCGATATGTTTAGCTGGATATTTGATGCTCTGCTTCCAAAAAACATGAAGTAGGTTTTGTCTATATTGAGGGTAAGTTTGTTGGCAGTCATCCAATGTGATATTTTATGTAACTTGCTGTTTACAGTGTTATTAAGTATAGCAAGGGTTGGGTGGGAGAAGACATAAGTGGTGTCATCCGCGAATAGAACTAGTTTAAGGAGCCACGATGCATTTGGGAGGTCATTGATGTAAAAAAGAAAGAGTAGAGGACCTAGGGCACTTCCCTGTGGCACTCCAACAACTACAGGCTGAGTATTGGAGGTCATGTTATTTGTGTACACATACCGGTGTTTACCACTAAGATAATATTTTGGGTAGTTGAGCGAGTGTTCTCTGATCCCGTAATGCTCTAGTTTTAGGTGCAAGATATTGTGGTCAACTGTATCAAATGCTTTTCTTAGGTCTATGAAGAGTCCCAGAGGATATTCATTTTTGTCAATTGCTGTATATTATAATTCGAGCATCTGAATAATTGCATCACTCATGCTTTCTTTTGGCCTAAACCCAAACTGGCAGGGGTTAAGTATGTTGTGGGATAGGGGGTAGGAGTAGATTTGTTTATGTATTATTTTTTTGAAGAGTTTTGAGAGCAAAGACAAGTTAGATATTGGTCTGTAGTTATTTAGTTCTAGGATTGCCACCTTTATGGATTGGGGTAACCCTTGCCATCTTGAGTATGGATGGGAATTTACAAGATTTAACCCTTTCAGGGTCCGTGCCATAGATCTATGGCTTTACGTTCAGGGTCCAAACCGTAGATCTACACCATGAGCTCAGCTCACTCTGATAAGCTGTGATCAGTAAATTTTGGCCTAGATATGAGAGAATATATCTATGTGGTATGTGTGCACCACATAAAACAAATCCTGCAGCAGCACAGTGCATAATGAGAGAAAAAAACTGAGACCATAATTTTCGATTAAAACAGCGACTGCAGTGTTTTTTCGCATGTTTTTTATAGTTGTATTTGCAATTTCTTGGTCTCATTTGATAGAATAGAAGATATACTACAGAAATAGATATTATTTTGATTGGTTTTAGTACTGGAAATGGCTTGAAACTGAGTTCAAAGTAGCAGAAATGTTAAATTTTTGCCGATATTCAAGGGTAAGCAAATGGCCTCACAAGTCTAATACGTGACAGCTGGTGGGTCTAATACACATTCACAAATGTGGTGATATTATTTATACAATTATTACAGTATTGCATAACAGTAAATCTTCTATTTTTTGGTTTGAATAAAAATTCATTATGTGAATGAAAAATCAAAATGGAATTCATTTGTAAAGGCTGAAAACATAACTAATGAACAGAAGAAATGTTAGTTTGGTGCCAGGAATGCCTGCATTGTTTATTCTGGACCCTATTTTGAAATGGGAATATTTTGAGTTTGCATTAAATTGGCCAAATTACCAATTTCCGGTCACTTTATTTTGTTGTTGAAACAGTTGACTTGGCAATTTCTTGTGCTCAATTGATAGAATAGAAGTAATGCTAGTGAAATAGCTAAGAATTTGGTTGACTGGAATACTGTAATTGGCCTAAAATGGGAGTCAAAGTCAGCAAAATCGCCGATGCATAAATATCGCCGACACATCCAAATTCACGAGAGCATAATTTTGTCACTTTTCCATCAAATTTCATACTTTTTGTTTTATTACCTTCAGAAAAAGATTCTCTACCATTTCATAAGAAAAAAATAACAATTATTTTTCAAAATTCTTGGGCCCTGGTGTGCGCTTTGAAATTTGACCTCTGGACCCTGAAAGGGTAACAGATTTGTTAAATAGTGTTGCAATAATGGGGGGACAGCACATGAGCTGCTTTTTTTTATACGTGATTGTTGGCAAGTCGTTTAGATCTCCTGCCTTGTTTTTTTAAGATTTAATTAGTGAGACTTCAGTAGGATTTGTTGGTGCTATATATAGAGTATTTAGGTAATTACCAGTGAGGTAGCCTTGTGGCTGAGCATTTACATTTGGGATTTTGCTTGCTAGTTTTGATCCTATAGTAGAAAAGAAGATATTAAGTTCATTGGCAGTGTCTATAGGTTGTATGTGTGATTCATCTGGTTTTGCTAAGTTAATGTCTCTGCTTCTAGACAGTTTTCTAGAGCCCAAAATTTCAGAGAGTTTTCCAGGTCTTTTTCATATTGCCTTTTATTTCATTAAATCTGTTTTCATAATACATTTGTTTGGACTTTCGTATTAGATTAGTAAGTATTGAAGTGTATCGTTTAGTTAGTTCTCTTGTAATTAGGCCCTGTCTGAATTGTTTTTCATATAGATGTTTTTTATCGATGGATTTAAGTACATGTATACATGTACTATGTATTTGTAAGCCAGGGGCTGTTTAATCTCTTTGTTGAGATTTGCTTTGTTTTCATTGGACAGTGTTTATTGTAGGGGTTAGGGTTTTGTGTAGGAATATGTTGACACAGTCATCAATATCACGGCTGTCCGCTAACTCATCAGGCCAGTCAGTGTTACGTAGGGCAGTAATAAAATTATTTACCGATGACTCATCACGTAGTCGAAAAGAGATCTTAGTCATTGGCAGAAGTCATGTAAATCTTACAGTAACATATACAGTGGACCCCCGGTTTGCGATGCCTCCGGTATTCGATACATTTTAACGCAAAATTTTTGCCTCGGTTCCTGTTAAAAAACCCGGTATACGATTCGTCCGAGACGTGTCCATGTGTGTGCCAGTGTTTACAAGCCAGCCAGTGTGCTCACATCTAAGGATACATTCGGTACATTCCATATTATCACAGTGTTTTTGGTACTTGTTTCTGCGAAATAAGTCACCATGGTCCCCAAGAAAGCTTCTAGTACCAACCCTTCAAGAAAAAGGGTGCTAATGCTATTGAAATGAAGAAAGAGATAATTGCAAAGTACAAAAGTGGAGTGCCTGTGTCGGAGCTGGCCAGGTTGTATACAAAACCCCAATCAACCATCTCTGACCAGGAAAACGGCAATCAAGGAAGCTGTTGTTGCAAAAGGTGCAACTGTGATTACAAAACAGCGACCGCAAGTGTTAGATGTTGAGAGACTGTTATTGGTGTGGATAAATGAAAAACAGATAGCAGGAGATAGCATCTCTCAAGCGATCATTTGTGAAAAGGCTAGGCAGTTGCATGACGATTTGGTAAAGAAATTGCCTGCAACTAGTGGTGATGTGAGTGAATTTAAGGCCAGCAAAGGTTGGTTTGAAAAATTTAAGAATCGTAGTGGCATACATAGTGTGATTAGGCATGGTGAGGCTGCCAGTGACTCTCAAGCTGGTCCTAGTGGCATTAAAAGAAGAAGGGATGTAACCCCGGAAAAGGACTTGCTACCTCAAGTCCTATTGGAAGGGGATTCCCCTTCTAAACAATAAGTTCGACATTCTCCCCTCCCATCAATCATCACCAGATCTTCATTAAAGGTAAGTGTCATGTATTCTATTGTTAGTATAGTACTACAAACTGTTCATGTCTTCTTCAGTTTGTGTGCAATAAACTTAATATTTCATGTGGTAAAATTTTTTTTTCATACTTTTGGGTGTCTTGCATGGATTAATTTGATTTCCATTATTTCTTATGGGGGAAATTTATTCACTTTTCGATAATTTTGGTTTACGGTGAGCTCTCGGGAATGGATTAATATCGCAAACCGGGGGTCCACTGTATAGACCATTCCTTTTCTCCATTTCTCCAACTAAGACAGTATTTATCCTAAATATTTAAATTCCTGATCTTATTTAAATATTTGATTTGCTTTTTCTATTATTTATTCCAATCTTTAATATATTTTATTCTTCAGTTTCACACATATACATTTTCTATAGTACTTGTCTCAACAGTACAAATTCTACATCATAACCAGCTATGCTCCTATCCTGCTCTCTCACCTTGGAGCAAGTGAGCCCACACATTCACTTCTTTTCTCGTTTCCATACCCTTCAAAATGGGAGGGCGGAAGGTAAGGGAGAGTCTTGATAAAGAAGTTAGAGCTATATTTACTTTGAATTAAGCATCTTACACCCATTCCTTAGGCATTGTGTGACCTTTATGGGTTTTGCACTTGCTTATGTAGTAATAATTTTCATATGAACAAAAAAGTAATAATCCAGTATGGGTCATGTAGCCCAGTTTCCATAGTTTGTATATTCGTTCATATTAAAAATTATTAGGTATGTTTTATTTCCAGATTTATCATCCTAGTGCACTTGGCCTTGAAGTTGGTCAACAGATCAAGGTGAAGTATTTTGGACATGACCCAGCATCAGGTCAGATGAGACTCTCCAGAAAAGCACTACAAGCATCAGCTGCTGCTGTAAGAAACCTTCATAAAACAGAACCTGTATGACTGTAAATGGTGTAGTGATACTGACAAGACAAAAAATGTACAGTTCAGGACACTTGTTAAAGGAATGGTTTCAGTCCTAGTACAAAATAAGCAACTGGAGGGCACTATATAATAGGCAGAGATAAGTGACCAGTAGTAAGGGCAAGGTGAGGCAGGTTATAGTTGAGTGGGTGTCATGTGATGGCCATTCCTAATGTGGGTACATTGGTTGTTATTATTATCATAACTAAGCACTAAACCCACAATGTTTATACACCAATACAGCACGTTGGAAACATTGAAGCTCCCAGATATTTGCAAGTGTGTGTTGATTTTGGAAATTAAAGCAATTTCTACCTCTGTTGGTCATTTTTGTGGATGAGTAATTGGGCCTCATTTTATTTCATCAGGTGTCCACACTCAACCCTGTGCTGTACACAGGCATTGCTGCAATTATCTCAGCTGCAAGCATGTGTGTTCACAAACTGATTTCCAAAGATCTAGCAGTCTTCCCCACATGGTAATGTATACTTTTGTGCTGGTCAAGGATTTGATTGATGAAGAGCTAATGGCTATTTTGACAGGTTGGTTGTTAAATGATTTAGCGACATTAGATGCCATGTTGCTGACCAGCAATGCGATATATCTGGTAGGTGCTTGTTTTGTACAGTATGTGTGTAGCATGCTTCCTGCACTAAAGTGTAGAAAATATTGCAGTAAACTTGCATGTTTTGTGTGCATTCCTCAGAATGGTGAACTGGAAATACTGAAGGCTCTGAGGCAGCAGCTCCTTACACCTCAGTCTTGACATGGTGGGAGAGAAGTGTAATAGATCATGTTTGTATGTAGATTTTTGGTAAACATTGAATGAGTCTTCACATGTGTGTAGAGGTGTTCAGAAAAGGTAGTTTGTTGTCCTTATCCTTTAGTGTGAATTTAACAGTTGGTTCTAAATTGTTGATGGAGCTGAAAATAGGCACTTCGTGATCTTTGGGAATGACTGAAATATCAGTATTTTAGTCAGTGTGCCCTAAGAGCTCTATGTGCATAATATCCTTTGCTCAAAATTATCTTTTCTAGATATGTGTATTTCTACACACAGGTGAAATTACTCTTGTTCAAGGGTTACCAAAAACCTATGTACAAAAATGGTTTATGCTAATCTCCTACCAAGTAAGGCCAAAAAGGTGTCATAAGCATCTTCAGAATCTGGCCAGTTTTTACAAGAATTTAAATGTATAGCTCATGCTTTCAGTTTATTACAATTTCCCCTACACTTAAAGTGCAGGTAGCTTACCCCACACACTGCAGCACAAGCATCGATAAAACAGAGAAAGCTACTGGATACATTGTTTTGCTGATGAGCAGTGTGATATCTAATGTGGCTAAACTATATAAGAGCCCAACCAATCAAAACTGGCACCAACTCTTCTGCCTCAACCACTGCAGAAGTGTACATTATACCATGTGGGGAGGTGATAAAAGGTATATGGTTGCAGATTGCTAAATCTTTGGAAATGAGAGTTTGCAAACACAGATATTCCTGCAGCCAGGATGACAATACCTGTGAACAATACATGGATAATTGTGTATGCCTGATGAAAGTATAACGAGACCAAGTTGGTCATCTGTGACAGCAGGTGGAGCTCTTTGTCATACCACATTTTCACAGAGCCACATTGCAATAACAGCTTATTAACCTATGTCGGTTAATAACTGTTGTGTATCAAATAAGTTCTTACATTATGGTCATGTGTGTATATTAATACCTGCTTTAGCTTTGAATGAAGATTGAACTTATCAGTAATACAAAAGTTCCTTTAATAAATTTAAAAATAACGTTTATTCACAAAATCTGTAGAATTGTAAGCATTATATTAAAAATGTACAAATATTGACATTTTTATTAAATTTAATTTCAGAGACTAACTTCTTTTACAACCTTAAAAATGTATCTAAGTGCTGAACAGAAAAGGGTTGCCACAGCACTGGTATAAAATATGTCCAGGGAACACACTGCACTTACATACATCTGATTGTGCAATTTCTCACTTATCACGGATACTTCTCAAGAGGTTCTTTGATCCAAGGAATTGGATCTGACTCTCCCCCATGCACTGTACAACTCCTACATGCTTAGTGCTCTCCCTGTGTAATATAATCAGTGAGAAGTGCTAAACCCTTAGGGCTCATACATTTCATAGTGAATGGGATGTAGTCAAATTTGATCCAAGGGGGATTTGGGGATAAGTCCACGTCCTTGGATCAACAGCTCCTTCACCAGCATCAAAGTGTACTATTTTTCATTAAATGAGGCCACTTATCGCATTCACTAAGAATGCTAAAACCCAGATCCCGATAGCACTAGACTAGTTATAGGCAACACATGGAATGTCTTCTGAAGAGGGACAGGAAAGAATGTTCAGTCAACTCAAGTTCTTCAACCAGTTTTAGATGTTGAAGGTATCTGTTATCAAATTAGAATGTTAACAATAGATTATAAACTAACAATATTAAACTTTTATTATTTTTTTATTAGCAAATGGCATTCCCACAAGGCAGGGTCCCGAAAAGAAAAACTTCACCATAAATTCACTACCATACATGTCTTGCCATTATTATTATTATTATTATTACAAGGGGAACCTAAACCCGGAGGATTATACGCGCCTGGGGGATGTGGAAGGCTCAGCTTAATTGGGGAAAGGAGCAAGATCCATTCCTAAACAGAGCCCTCACAACATCAAGGAACCTTCCTTGAGGGACTGTCTTGCCAGAAGGGTGCTTTACGCTACAGTTTTTAAACTGCAACATTAACACCCCTCCTTCAGAGTGCAGGCACTGTACTTCCCATCTCCAGGACTCAAGTCCGGCCTGCCGGTTTCCCTGAATCCCTTCATAAATGTTACTTTGCTCACACTCCAACAGCACATCAAGTATTAAAAACCATTTGTCTCCATTCACTATCAAACACGCTCACGCATGCCTGCTGGAAGTCCAAGCCCCTCGCACACAAAACCTCCTTTACCCCCTCCCTCCAAGTTTTCCTAGGCCGACCCCTACCCCGCCTTCCTTCCACTACAGAGTGATACACTCTTGAAGTCATTCTGTTTCGCTCCATTCTCTCTACATGTCTGAACCACCTCAACAGCCCTTCCTCAGCCCTCTGGACAACAGTTTTGGCAATCCTGCACCTCCTCCTAACTTCCAAACTACAAATTCTCTGCATTATATTCACACATTAAACATACAGTCCTATAATAAACTGCTATAAAAGGTAAACATATATATTACTAAGATGATTAGATGTTAATACAAAATTATATTATGTACAGTCTCTATCAAAGAAATTAACACTAGTTCCATTAAACTGCCTATGGTAATTAGTTTATCTAGAACCTGTAATATTTATCGCTTCTTAAAACAATGGAACATAATGCCACAGCTTCCACTGCTGACATGAGAGCATTTCTGCAAAAAGAAAATAAAAAAATACAAATGTACATTTTTAACACTACATAAAGATATTTATTCCACACCTTCATTACTAGTAACACATCAGCCATGCTAGCCATATGGACTAGTATCCTGAAGAACTACAAAAATGGACTGTCCAGCCTTTTATGGAAGTACAATAGATGGAGTTGACTTAAATATCAGAATTATGGCAACCTGGAAGTAGTCATTTTCCATATGTGATCAGAGTTCATGCTGCTGTCATTGCGGATGTCTTAATCTATTCACAACTCAATATGGGGATCACATTTATCCTCCATTAAGATACTCTCCTGGTTTATATTTCTTACAAAGGATTACATGTTATCGATTTCAATCTTTAATTAGCACAGATACAGACTCATACACTCTTGACCATCTTAGCCTAAAGTTGCAACATAACACTTGTTACGAATGAAATTCTCAAAACCCCTGATTTTGTCTTATCACTCCATGCTTAATGCTCAGGCACTCACCACAACAGTGACAAGAGTACAGCATGTCAAGTGTTGTGTCTAATACAACTGAAGAGACTGATAGAATTTAACCCTTTCAGGGTCCGTCCCGTAGATCTACGGCTTCATGTTGAGTGTCCAAACCTGTAGATCTACACCAAAATTCTAGCGCCGTCAAATTTAGCGCGAAAACTCTCATAGGCCTACATGTGAGAGAACGGGTCTGCGTGGTGGGTGTGCGCCATAAACAAAAAATCTAGGCGCCCGCATAGCATTGTGGGAACGCCGGCTCAGTTACCCTTGTTCACCATGCCTCGTCGCAAGTCAGCTCTCACTCCCCGGAAAATTGGGACTCTCCTCTTCCTATCTGATAGTTCTGACAGTGATGGAAGTGGAAAGGGAAGACGAATTCTACGGCTTTGATCAGTTAGTGACCGAAAAGAATGACCAGGATATTGATAATAGTGCAGAAAACCCTGACGATCCTCAACCTTCTACCTCTGGTGTGGGCACTCGTGACTCACGGTCGGTTGTTCCTCAACGCAAGAGAAAACTAATATTTTCGCGTGGCCAGGCCTCTGACTTCAGTAATGATGATGATAGTGACGTGGATTGTGATTTTATTGCGCTCGACGATCATTCGAGTAGTGATAGTGAGGAATCATATTCACCAGTGAAGCGTCGGTATGTTCGCCGCTGCATACGCTCGGGTAGTGTACCCTATGCTGTGCCCAGGGGACGGAGTACATTCCGTGGCCCTACACCAGTTTTAGGTAGTGATAGTGGGATGATGTGGCTACACTTGGCATGGATAGACCACAGGCATCAGTGGATGGTGTTAGTGGTGATGGTAGTGGCACCGCCATGCGTGACTCACCAGCCCACGCTGGGACCCACGCTGCTGACTCGTCAGTTCAAGGACAAAGCGGAGCGTCAGCCACCAGCCCACCACAACCACAAACCACCCACACAACCAGCCTATGATGTCCAGTATCCACCAGCAAACTGTATGTGGGATTGGCAGCAAAATCCCAATTTTGTTCCCAAGCCTCACCACTTTGATGACTCTCAAAGTGGAATTCTACCTACTTGTCCCCTTGGAACCACGGCCAATGAACTGGAATTCTTTGAATTATTCTTTGACCAGCCATTGATGGAAACTATTGTCAGGGAAAGTAATAAGTATTTTGATGTACACCATGGCAAATACGATCTTATCACCACAGTCAAGACTACACAGGTGGAAAGAGACGACTGTTGCAGAAATGTATTTGCTTTTTGCAACAATAATGCTTATGCCTCATGTGTATAAGCATAATATAAAAGCATACTGGTCCAAAGATCGGTTAATTTCTACCCCGTCTTCAGTGAAATCATACCAGTGAACAGGTTTATCTTACTCTTACGTATGTTGCACTTCTCTGACAAAACCAGGCCTGACAGAAGTGACAGGTTATACAAGATTAGAAATGTTTTCATGTATCTCAAACAAAAGTTCAACATATACTTTTATCCATTCAAGAATCTTGTAATTGACGAGTCTTTGATTTTGTTCAAAGGTAGACTGTCATATAAGCAGTACATACCGAGCAAGAGGAAACGCTTTGGTATAAAACTGTTTGTACTCTGTGATTGTGACAGTGGCCTGGTGTTGGATATTGTTGTATACACGGGTAGTAAAACATTGAAAGATACCAAGATGTTATTGGGTATCTCAGGTGACGTAGTGAGAAACATGATGACACCTTATCTTGGTAAGGGGCATACATTATATACCGATAACTGGTACACAAGCCCATTACTCAGTGATTTCATGCAAGTGAACAAGACAGATGTGTGTGGCACAGTGCGTTCTAATCATAAACATATGCCCAGGCTCAATGTAGGTGCTCGTGGTGATGATGTGCAGGTGTTTACTGCCAATGACATCATGGCATTACGGTGGCATGACAAACGAGATGTCACATTGTCGACAACCATTCACCGTAATGAAATGCAAGACAGTGGCAAAGTTGATCGAGTGACTAATGAACGTATTCGAAAAAACCCGTGACAGTGATTGATTATACACCCAAAAAATGCGCTTGGTTGACAAATGTGACATGCAGATTGGTTTTGTTGACTGTGTTCGTAAGAGTTACAAGTGGTACATGAAACTTTTTTCCATCTCATGGACATTTCAATGCTCAATGCATATAATATGTACCAAATAAAGACTGGCAACAGACCACCGTATGGTGAATTTTGTTTGTCTGTTGTCAGACAACTCATAATGAAGTACCAGGTAAGAACACCTGCTATACAACAAGGTCCTCGAATTCCTCAGGATATACCAAGCGTTGAGGAGGGAAGGTGATCATTTCATAATACAACTTCCTTCAACTCAGAAGAAATTTGCTCAGAAGAGATGCATCGTCTGTGCACAAACAAAAACGATGGCAACAAAGACGCAAAGACACTTGGTTTATGTGTGAGGGAAAGTAAGGTGCCTCTGTGCATGGTGCCTTGTTTCAAGGAGTTCCACAAGCTCCAGCAGTTCTAAAACCATGTCCAGTGATTGTAAATATATGATAGAACATTAGTATTATACAAGATTTGTGCATGTTTATTGTAATAAACAACAGTGGTAAACAATAATATGATAATAACTTTAGTGCGGTTATTGTGTTCAATACAGTGAGTTTATATA